CGAAATTAAAGATTACGGAACATATTTTTAATGAACCAAAGTTTAGGAGAAGTTTGGATCATATAGCTAAATTTTATTTTCGAGAATCATTTTATTGGGAATCGCTTTATCTAAAAGCGTGATTTGGAATGAAATTGTGACATACTGACATACTGTGACCAAACTCCATCTTACACTATATTTTGATGGAAGAAGAGTAAGGAAGGATGAGATTTGTAAGGGTATGTAAAGAAAGAGAATGATAGTATTTAAACCTTTCTCTTAGGGAATGGAAGGGAAAAAGAAAGGCAATGGAAGGATTAGGAAAAAAAAAAGATTAATTATTAAACTATAAAAATAGACTTTTTTTAGTTGGTTGCTTGCGCTACTCGTTAGTCAAGATGAACAAGTAAAATCATCTAATTTTATATATTTTTAATTAAAATTTTGTATTTAATTTCTTCCTTCTTATTTTTTTCTTAAATTTGTAGTTAAAAAATTAATTTTCTTCTTCTTCATGCACTGGTTCTTAAATTTCAATAATCTAAATAAAACATTTAATCTAAAAGTTAAAAGATACTTTAATAATTTTTTTATAAGATTGCTTTGAAAAAATAAGGTAAAAATTGATATAAAAATTTGTATAAAAATTAATAAATAATTATTTTTATTTTTATTTAATGTTTATGAGAAGATTATTTTTTTGAAAGTATGTACATTTGATTTATATATTTATTAACAAAATAATTAATAATATTAGTATACAAAGCTATATTTCAATAATTGGTTAGTTCTTCCAAAATATTATATTATTTGAAAAAATTTGATTTTAGAACATAAAAAAGAATAAATAACAAATAATTGGTGTTATGTGTATAGATACATAGTTAATTTTTCAATAAAACTAATAATTCAATATATATATTATGATCATATTTTATAGATTCAGATTGTATAGCATAAATAGATAAATATTAAAAAAATCTAAGTTATAAATAATATATTGAAGTCAATAGATTAAAATAAAAACGACTATAAATAAAAAAAATTAATCCAAAAGTTAAAAAATACTTTAATATTTTTTTCATAAGATTTCCTTGAAAAAAATAAAGCAACAATTGATATACAAACTTGTATAAAAATCAACAAATAATTTATTTTTATATTTATTTAATATTTATGAGAAGATTATTTTTCGAAAGTATATACATTTGATTTATATATATTTATTAACAAAATAAGTAATAATATTAGTATACAAAGCTATATTTGAATAATTGGGTGGTTCTTTCAAAATATTATTTTATTTTAAAAAATTAATTTTTGAACATAAAAAAAGAATAAATAACAAATAATTGGTGTATGTATGTAGATATATAGTTAATTTTCAACAAAACTAATGATTCAACATATATGTTTTATTGATTCATTATATATATATATATATATATATATATATATATATATATATATATATATATTATGATCATATTTTGTAGATTCAGATTATATAGCATAAATAGAAAAATATTTAAAAATGTCTACGTTATAAGCAATATATTGAAGTTATTAAATTAAAATAAAAAATACTATAAATTTAATACCAATATATTTTGATTATATAAAAATAGAAAAGCGAATAAAACCCATGAATTCTATTTTTAATTGATTATTTATATTTTTTTAAAAAAAATGAGTCCAATTACCCGAAACACACTTTTAACTTTATATATATCTTCAACTATATTACTCTTATTTAAAAATCATAAAAAAATCCATCATATAAATTATAATAATAGATTAAAATAAAATAAAATAAAATAATCATGTATAAAAATAATATATTATTTTTAATGAGAATTTCGATAAATTTTAAATAATAAGAGTAATATAATATGATATATATGCTTAACTTAAAATTTTAAAACATATCATATATATTTCATAATCGTCAAAATTTATGAAAAACTCAAAAAATAAAGATTATTTTTCTATAATTTTCACATCCAATTCCATGAGAAAAAAAAAATTAAAAATAGTTTGTTGAAAAAAAACAAAAAAAAACAAACAAACCAGGCCTGTGCGTTTGGGCTTACTTGTGTAGGCCAATATGCTACACTAGGCCTGTGTGGCTGACCAAAAAAAAAAAAAAAAAGCCTGAAAGCTTTGTGTAAAAGTCATAGGTCTAGTTTTAGATCTAAAAAAAAAATCATTATTGCCACTAATTTCCCTCAAACACCTCAAAATGATCGAATATAAGATCAATAAACTCGTTTAAAATCTTAAAAATTATTTCAATGCTTAAAAAAATTAAAATCAAATAAAAAAATTCAATTCTTTTTTGCCCCAATCTATATTCTCCAATCATTTGATGACTTGAAACCTCTATAGATAAATTCTTCTCTCTAAGATAAATAAATTAAATGAAATATCATTAACTAAAATGGCCAAAATAAGCCAGACCAATGCTCTCTCTCTCGTTCATTGTCACTCTTCGTTTCTCTCTCATCTATTCACCTAGAGGATAAAATGTGTCACGAGATGAAATTATGAATTTAAATAAAATTTTCAAAAATATAAGGGATTAAAGTGTAAAATTTTGTATAACTTGCATGTAATTACTTGGTAAAAGCGCAAAAATCACAAAAAAAAAAAAAAAAATTGGATGTTGGGTCTATAGTGCCACTTACCGTGTAGCTACAGTGAACTCAATATTAAACCCTCCCATTTTTATTTTTTTTTAATGGCTGAAAGGAAGTTAGTTTTTTTTTTTTAAAAAAAAATAATTAAAATCTTAGCCCTTCTATACACCACAATTTGGAATTTTTTTTCTTTCTTTCTTTCTTTTTTCCTCCTCTTTGAAGGGTTTTAACCTTCTAAATCCCCATCTTTCCGCACATAAGTAATGAGATGTGTTTTTTCTTCTTTGATGAAAGGATCTTAATCAAATATTGTTTTAAAAAATATTTTAAAAGTGTAAAAATACCAAACACATAAATGAATATATCACATCTCTACAAAACATAACTCGTATCTAAAACTTTATGTTAAATGAGTTTTTTTTTTCTTGCCATCCAAACCAATCTCAACGACTCTCATTGGTTTCTAATTTCATGTTTTTTTTTTTATTTTTTTATTCAGTGATCAAAGATAGAGGTGGTAAATGTGAATCTTACCCATCAATTCAATTCAAACCCACCAACAAAAATAAAATCATGAATCCAGGATTTGTAATCCAAAACTCAAGATAACTAGAATCTAAAATAACCCAAATTTTGAATTTTTTTTTTTTTAAACTCACACACTCAAAGCTTCTAATAAAGTTATTTTGCTAAAAGTTGTACCAATAATCTCTTGTTATAAGCAATCACTACCACTATTCTATATAAGTTTTTTGGTCCCAAATTTGAGTTAAGTCAACTGGACATGTAGATAACTCATGAATCAACCATTATATTAGACTTTTAGTTTACAAAATCCAAACTTTTCTTGTGTAATAGATAAAAAAAATCATTTTAAGTCTTTTAATTAATCATTTTTTTTCACTTTCCAATTCTTTCTAGTGAAATAGAAAAACATAAACAATCGATTTTTTTTTCTTTTTTACTCTTAATTATGGTTTGTATTCTCATGTGTTATCTCTTTTTGTATTTTCAGTCATTTTACTATATATATATGAATTGGAAGTAGCTGGTTAACCTAACACACCTGTTATTTAGCTTCAAAGAGAAAAAAAAAACGGTATTATCACCTTGAGTCTTGATAATATCCTTTTTAGATAATTATCAAAATAAATAAATATGTTGGGTCAAATTATAATACTATATCTTCTTATAAAATTATTTTCATTTATAAAAAAATAATACATATGTAACGTGTTTGTTCCATGTGAGAAAATTTAATTAAAGCTAGTTATGTATTTTTGTTTTGTTTTCTTTCTTTTGAAAATCACGTTATTAAAAAAGAAAAACATTAAAAACTTATTAAACAACAAGTTATTTCATTAATTTTTGATCCAATCCATTGCAATATAAAATAATATATATTCGTAATTATAATAGTTTTACAAAGTGAGGTTCTTTATCTATACACTTGTGTAGATGTTAATTTATAATAATAGTCAAATTCTTTTTTTTTTTGAAAAAAAAGACCTCAACCTTGTAAATTGATCTCATTTTATCCGAAATGGATAGATTTAAGTCAAACATTTAGTACTTCAAATATGAATCTAAGATGATCTAACCCAAAACCATCCAAACCCAACTCAATTGCTAGGTTTAATAAAAAGTATTCTCGATCCGTTCGAGAGTCAATCAAAAATTTTAATTTTATTTTTTATAGAAAAGTTTCAATTTTATGTTAGTTTCACTTTTGTGAAATTATTCCTTTTTTACATCATCAATGTCTTGATTATCCGAGACGACCTGATTCAAAACCATCCAAGCACCAATCCAATTACCAGATCTAATAAGAGCTATCTCTGGACTAATTTGAGCATCAATTGAAAAATTTAATTTATTATTATTATTATTATTATTATTTGAGAAAAGTTTCAATTTTTATGTTAATTTCATTTACATAACCCCTACGTCATCAATGTCTCGATTCGATCCTCACTTGCACTGAAGAAAAAAGAGACAACAAGAATCTCGCTCTCTTTTTTTCACTGTCCCATTTTTATTCTTCTACCTTATTCTCCCCGACGACTTCTTAAATTTATATTTCTGACGAATAATAATAAACATCTTCCGAAAGCAGACCCTCCTGGTTCCCGTCCTCTCCTTCTCTCTTCAGGCACGTTTCACTTAATATACTTAAATATCTTATACACAAAACAAGCACACAAGTCCATTTTGACATTGCTGTTTTGTTTTTTTCATTTTGTTGATTGCAGAGAGGAAAAGGGCTCTGCGTTGCAGATCTGATTCAAATTCTACGATCTGTTCATGCGCTGAAAGAATAACCATTATCTCTCTCCCGCTGAGTTAGTACTAAATAAGATGGGAATTTTCTTTACTAAAATGTTCTCTTCTGTATTTGGCAACCAAGAGGCTCGGATCCTTGTTCTTGGTCTTGATAATGCTGGCAAAACTACAATTCTCTGTATGTTGTTCGTTTTTTTTTATGTGTGATTTTGAGTTACGGGTATTTATTAAATTTTGATAATTTTTGTGTGTTTTGATGTTGGTTTTCGATGCAGATCGACTTCAGATGGGTGAAGTTGTATCCACCATTCCAAGTTAGTGTATTTTCTTAGTAATTTTCATTGGAATTTGATGTTTGTTTGATTGATGAGAGTATGAATCCAAAATTTACGTTATTGATGAGATGCGATGTGTTGTTTTCTGGTTTGTCTAAGAACCCCAATTGCATTGGCTTCAGTTACATTGAGGATTTGTTCTTCAAGGGCTTAGTTAATGGATGAACTTTGATGTGGGAGTTGCATTTTTATCAGAATTCATAACAGAATCTTTTCTTTTTCTATTGCAGCAATTGGATTTAATGTCGAAACAGTTCAGTACAACAATATCAAATTTCAAGTATGGGATCTTGGTAAGCCTCTTTATTTCTCTTGATCTGTGAACCAAGTACTATATTTTACATTCATTGCAACCCTAGCTTCTATATTGGGTGGAATATGTGAATCTTTACTGATTACTGATTGTTCATTGTTAGAAAAGTTTGAAGTTTATTATACCTTCATACTTTTCTATTTCCAACAAATGAATGCAGATTATAGGCTTACTGTATTGTGAATAAATTTATGTTATTTGTTTTTTTGGTGAATGAGGCAATGGATGTATAGCCTTTGCATGTTGGGGCACAGGTTTTGCTGTTGATATACCCCTTTGTGTCACTTTGAGGTCATTAGAACCCCCATTATTTAAATGCTTTATTTACAATGGAGCACCATTTTGAAGGGAACTTCCTGGTTGAAATGGAAACAGTGTAAGCATAATACACGTAAAACTAGTAGATTTTGATGGTTTGCCTTTATCTCTTTTGCTGCTTTCCATAGTATTGTGAAATGTAAGGATACTTTCCTGTTCATTTCATACTGCCTAATGTCTCTGTGAGAACCTCCACAGGTGCTTGTGTTGTAAAAAAAAAAAAAAATGCAAAGGATGGTGTAGTGTTATTTGCTCAGAGATGTAATTCTAGTTGGTATTTATGCATTTTCATGTGTTTTGGTATATTTCTATTTATTTGCTCACAAAGGGTGTTTGTATGCACCCTGTGACACATCTACTCCTGAATTAAAATAAACTCAAAAAATTAGAACTAGAATATGGGTTGTTTATGTCCAAGAATTGTAGTAAATTATGTTTGTTTTGCTAAAATTGCAATCAGCTACAACTCTTAAACTAAAGACTGGAATAAAAAGGGCTTAACCTCTTTTTAATCGTAAAAGTCTTCAAAGCATCTGTCACTCCATTGTGATACGCATTTGGGCTCAGCATCAAATTCTGAGCTGCCAAGACCCTTATACCTCCCACCCAAACTAAGAAGAAGCAACACCTCAATGCAGATACTGAATTAAGAACTTTTATTGAATGCATGTCAATGGTCCGTTATCATTTAAGCTGGATTTTTTATTCACACACACCCCAACTTTCTATGAGAAGCTTAATTGTTCCCACAATATCTAATTATTGTTTTCCACTAGCTAGTTCATTATTCCCACACCATCTGCCATTTTTCCACTTGTTAATCGGAAGCTAATGTGGAGTTATACAATTAATTTGTTTTTTAAGTATTGCATGATCAAAAATTGCATGTTAATTTCTTTTCCTGATGGCATTTATATTGTTTGTGGTACAGGTGGACAAACAAGCATCAGGTAACTTCTTGCCTTTTCCTTCTTTTTTTTCACAAATAAATCTGCTTTATATTTGTAGGGAAATATAACAGGAGTTACCTTGTGATATACACTATTTGTTTTTTGTGGTTTAATGGCAATGATATTTGATGTGATTCATTATATTCTTTATTCAACTAGTATCTGCATATGGATTCAATTGTTGTTTGTCCAAAAATAATAACCAAAAAATTAATGAATTATTGCTTCAGTAAAATATTCTTTCCTTTTTTTTTTTTTTTCCTTTTTTGGGTGACTATCAACATTTGTGTCATCATGGATTATATTTGAACCATTTACATTTTTCTATTTATTGATATCATACACCCAGACTTATTGCATGTCTAAATACTATTAAAACAATTGATTTTTTGTACTCCAATGGTTTTTGTGCTATCTCAAGAGGAAATTTTTTAGCGACGACTAGTTTTGCATAATTCCATGAGTAAAAGATTGAGAGAGATATTATCACATACTTTTATGATCATTGATTATTATTTCTCCCATATTTTCCACACTTTGTACATAGTTCACTTTGATTGATTGTGAGATAACTTGTTGTTTGATCAATTTCACAAGTTCACGGGCTGCTCATGTTTGCAACAGACCATATTGGAGATGCTATTTTCCCAACACGCAAGCCATTCTTTATGTTGTCGATTCAAGTGACACTGATAGGCTCGTGATAGCTAAAGATGAGTTTCATGCAATCTTAGAGGTACTGTTATCCCTATTTTATGTTCACATCTGAGCACTTGACAAAGTTAGTGTTATTGGTGCATCATATTCCTAAACCCATGGCATGCATAATGTAAATATTATGAAGCCTTAGTGGACCAAAAATGACCTGGCCTGAAGTGATAGATAATGATATGTTATGATGGTAGCTTTAAAAAAATTAGCCTATATTTAATTGAACTGTGGAAGCATATCCATGTGTAGCCATCCTTTTAACTAGTTTTGGATTGGGGTGTACTTGAGATGCCTTGAGGGTTATTAAGTGGGAATGAAACTATGTTTAATTTTCATTCCTATTTCCACTTTCATTCCCAATCCCACTACATTCATTCCAACCAAACACTTACAAAGTGTGAATAAAACTTCCATTCCCTCTTCCATCATTATATTCCTTGTTGTCAAACAACAACTTAGTGTTCTTCAATTTCCTTTAATGTTTCCTACATAATGTAAAAAAAAAAAAAAAAGAGCCTCTAGTTCTTTTTTTGTTGTTGCAACTCGACTCTCTGCTTTTAGATATTTAGTTGTCTTTGTTGTTAAGGTTCATTTTCATTCATTTAGTGCAATTTTATAGTGCCAAGATTAAATATTTGATTCGTTTTGGCAGGAAGAAGAGTTAAGAGGTGCTGTTGTTCTTATTTTTGCAAACAAACAGGTTTGTGTTGTTCCTAGTTAATTCTTTTTTAAACATAGTTATGACAGAAAACAAGCATTAAATTCTACTCATACCTGCAAACTCATATGAAAAGGCTTTATTGGATGCAAAAACAATAGGTCTAATCTTTTTATGATGTGGTCATGAAAGATGCTTCCTTCATTAGGCTTCATATCACTACATAAATTTCGCATTTAAATATTTCTATCAATTAGGTTTGTGCTCTCTCTCTCTTTCTCTCTCTGTTTTTATTTTTTTCATTCTTTTAGTTTATATAGGATCTTCCTGGTGCACTTGATGATGCGGCTGTCACTGAGGCTTTGGAGTTGCACAAGATAAAGAATCGACAATGGGCGATTTTTAAAACCTCTGCCCTTAAAGGAGAAGGTCTTTTTGAAGGTTTGGACTGGTAAGTTAAATTACCAACGGATTGGAATTAATTTCCGGAAATGGTTTTGAAGATGCTGAGAATTGTAGCTCCTAGGCTTTCCATAGATTTCATTTATACAAATATAGTGCTTAGAAAATTGTAAACTTCTGAGTACTTATCCCAGAAGTCTCCTGTACTTCCTTGGGAAACCATTCCCCTCGACTTACCAACTTACCTTTTTCTCCATTAACCAGTCTCCAAAAACTATGTTATCCTATACCAAGGATTTAACTTCTAAGCTTCCTACCTTAAGAGCCCAGATTCCATTTCACCAAATGGAGCCTCTCCCTGAACACCCCATAGGAACCTACTTGAGGAGAATTGTTTTGTGGGATCCTTGAAAACAATAGAAACATTCTATTTGATCTTTATGCTTAATGCTTGAATAGAATGCTTCAATGGGAAGTCCATATCCGTAACTCTAGCAAATTGTTTCAAAAAAGAAAATCGCCGACTGGCACAAAACCCTGGAGACTCAAAATGCTCCAGCAATAAATGTGAGAAGGAAAGAACAGCAGTTTCTATAAGTATCTGTTCCCCCCAGAAGGAATTTTGATGTCGACAAAATCTATGAACTGATGTTGCACCTGGTTCTATACATGAAGATATTGAATTCTGAAGGCTTCACAACTTCATTTTCTCTTGAAAATTTATTTTATTAAAAGCCTAATCGGGAATCATGTGTTATTGTAGGTTGAGTAATACCCTCAAGTCTGGAGGTGGCTAACTCTCTTAGAGAAGAGCGGGAAGCTCGCTGTCGTTTCTCTGAGCAAGAATTGATAAAGATTGTGACCATGAGGAGTTGATTTGGCTGGTGATAGAACTTCATTCATGGTTTGCAGTTATGTCATTTGACCTTCACTGATTTTTCCCATTAATATACTTGTAAAATTTTTGTCAAAGAAGGAACCAATTAGCGCTTGTGTTGTTATGTTACCTTCCATTTCCTTGCCATTATTTGCTTTCTGTGTAGTTCATCCAATTTGCTTTTCTTTCCCTACCATGTACTGTATTGTTTGAAAATGATAATTTACGTCTTCATTTTGTTAATTCCATTGTTTTATCCTTGTCACTCTTCCAAACCCTTCTTGGCGGACTAGTTGGGGGAACTCTCTTGTAACTGGAACGAACTTTTTCGATTTTTAAGTTCAATAATACCATGACTTTGTACCTGTATACTCTATCTTGAAGGGTAGACAGTCGCTGGCTTCTAGTGCCAGTAAATTAAATCTGACTTGCGTATGTCTTCGGATACCAGTATCGGTTCAGCACATGTAATGGGCTGTCCATACCTTGGGATCCACAGCCCCAAGAGGACAGACGCTGGGCTTTCTATACCATGGCAATTACAATCCGAAGGTATTATTTGATAATAAAAAATATAATTACCAAAATAGAAGTAAAAGTTACTATTTGATAACAAAGAATAGAATAGTAAAAATGTAAATAAAAGTTCTATTTTTATGGTTCGGTTGTGTCGATAAGAATAAAGCGTTAAAAAAAAAGAAATTAATGTAGTTTCATGCCTGTAAAAAGAGGAATAAATTGACTTTTTTTTTAATAATAATATATTATTTGTAGAGTAAGTTATCAATTAGTCCCTCTTGTTTTAAGAATCGAATTAATTATTTCTTCTGGTTTTAAAAACTTATTATTTAGTTTTTTTTTCCAACCAACTTTGACCATGGTTAATTTAATATTTTTTTTATTTTATAAAATATCTTCTTTTCTCATCAATATTTTCATATATTTACTTATTTTTTTTATTATTTTTCTATTTTTTAAAATAAAAAATCAAAATAAATTGAAAAATAACAAAAAGGACTAAATACTTAGGTTTTAAAATTAGAAGGATTAATTAATTAATTTCTCAAAACAAGAGAGATTAATTTATAATTTATGCATTATTTGTATTTATTATGTATTAATTATTTCTACAACCTCTATAAATTTCAATACCACCACTAATAGATGGTGATGGTGAAATAATAATAATAAAAAAAATTATTACCACCATATGTATTTTATTCTACTACTATTATTTTTAATTTTTCATCGCCATCTTTTACAATAATGGAATTAATTTTTGTAAAATATATTATTGCTATCATTACCACTACCTCCTCTTTTTCCTTCATAACTATCACTATTGCAATTATCTCTAGCATCTATATCGTTATTATAATTGATGAAATAGTTTTTTAATTAGTATTCCTATTCGTTTTAGATATTAGAAATTAAAAAACTTAAATTTCATTTTAATTTTTTATTACTATTCCAAAAGAGTACAAGAATGAAAATATACTTCTAATTCTTTAATTAGTATTTTGATTTCTATATTTTTATTCTAAATCTTTTATTTTTGACAATCAAACAAAAAATGTACTTATATATTAGAATGACAGATGTAACTTTGGGAGCTAGGGCTCCAACATTTGCTAGTGTGAGCTTCTATTCTTGATAATAGATAGGCTGAACTTCGATCAAACAAAAGGAAGAAGTTCTATTTTTATTCAAGTGCGGACGTATCACGTTGCCACTTTTAAGACGTAGGACTAAGAGTGTGCAAACGGTTCGATTAACCGAAAATCGAATCAAACCGAACCGTATTAAGGTATTTGGTTCGGTTTTGAATTTAAAATTTATTATTTATAACCAAACCGAAAAACCAAAATTTATTTCTAAATTTCGGTTCAAATCGAAAAACCTAAATTTATATTTTTGATTTCACTCTCACTCTCTCCGACTCTCACTTTCTCATTTCTCATCTCATTTAGTCATTTCCATCCAAATAGTCAAATACCAAATCCCTAACCCTAAGTCTCTCGTTGTCGGCCCGTCGTCGCTCGTCCGCCTTGTCGTCGCCGTCGCTACCTCGTTGCCGTTGCCTCGCCATCGCTACCTTGCTAGTCGCCGCCGTTGCCTCGCTACCGTTGCCTTGCTATCGCTACGACGCCGCCTAGCCGCGTTTGGGCGTTCTCTCTCGCCTCTCTCACTCTTAGACTCGGCGACCGTAGGTACTATTAATCTATTGTACTAAGTTGTTTTGTAGAAATATACAACCGACCGTGTGCCGTGTGGCAAGGATGGGGAGATCATTGGTTAGATTTGTTGATTGTTAGCAGCTTTGTTTCTCTCGTTTTCTTTTAAATGGTAATTATTTGGGCTTCACATGATGAACATAGTATGAAGATTATGCTAGGATTTAGTAGGGCATGCACGATGCTTTCTTTTGTAGAAATTTAAACTCAAATTTCTCTCGTAAAATAGGTTTAATATATCTATTTGAAAGGAGTTTATCGTAGTTGAAGGCGAGTCGAAGAGAAGATACTCTTGCTTCCCGGGCTTATTTGGTATGATCAAATGGTATCGAGTCCGTTAAATTGATCAAGAGTATCTTCTTCAATTTTATATTTTTATAATATCATGAACTTGAACATGAATGGATATATTGTTTGAATATTTGCTAAGGAAACAAAACAATTCACAAGATCGATATAAAGAGACAGATTGGCCAAATTAGGAAAGGACGAAGGAATGGGATGACACTAATGTTTTATTGGCCGATTTGTACGTGGGCTTTTGATCAAATACTTTAATAAATAATGGAACAACTTGTCATTCAATTTCACACTTGCATGAATATACTCGAAAAAAAGAAAGAAAGTAAGACCTATGCTCGTATCAATTTATCATCGCAATAAAGTTTTGACTTTGAGAATCAAATTAACATAGATACCGTTTAATTTTTCTATATAAGTAAAGTATGCAAGGTGCTGTAATTTTTTCTACTTGATTTGTCAAGAAAACAATGCTATACATGGGCGTACTCGTAGAATAGGACATTAAAATTTTTTGACTATTTGAGCCACCAATTAAAAAGCTAGAAGTAAGCAACAATTTTTAAAGCAAAGTTTGTAACAAGTTATTGGTTTTGAAATAGTCGCTTTCATGATTGTACTCAATTGTTTTGTAGAAATATACAAGTGATCGTGTAGCAAGGATGGGGAGATCATTGGTTAGATTTGTTGATTGTTAGCAGCTTTGTTTCTCTCGTTTTCTTTTAAATGGTAATTATTTGGGCTTCACATAATGAACATACTATGAAGATTATGCTAGGATTTAGTAAGGCATGCACCAAGCTTTCCCTTGTCCGCACATTGATGTGCTTTTATAAACAGTATTCCATATGGCATTAAATGGTTTCAGCTTGCTCCTCACGAGAGATTAACTAGTTTAAATCTAGATCGTCCTTTGTATGTCAATAAACTCGTGTGATTCACTCAACTAAGGAATTTTAACCGAATTTCATAGTACCGCAAATTACGCAGCTCCGTGTGTGTCGCTGTGTGTGGCCATACACCGCCCGCCGCAGGCCTACTACCTTGGTGCCTCTTGCCTAGCTAGATTGTTTTTTTTTTTTTTTTGGCTTAAGCTTAAGGACCAAGGTGTGTGAACTGTGAAGCTTAATACTCTTTTTCCTATGTTTTTATGTAGATGTCGCAATCTCAATCCATAGAGATGAATTATGAAACCGTGGATTCAAGCAATCCTAATCCACAATCAAGTGCAACTCCAAGTAACACTCAAGACAATGGCAAAGGAAAGAAGAGGAAATCAATGAAGCCAAGATCGATGGTGTGGGATCATTTCATAAAGTTTGAAGATGACAAGAAAAACATGAAGGCTAAATGTAACTATTGTGATAAGGTATTTGCTTGTGATCCTTCAAGAAATGGGATAACTTCACTTAGGTCTCATGTTTTGACTTACAAAAAAACCCTTTTAGTTTTATTGACTCTACCCAAACTCAATTAGACCTAAGAAAGCTTGAAGCCGAAGAAAGCAATCTTACCACATGAAAGTTTGATCAAAATGTTAGTAGAAAAGATTTAGCTGAAATGATCATTCTAGATGAGCTTCCATTTAAGCATATAGAGGGCATGGGATTCAAAAAGTTTTTATCTAATTTGTAACCTAGATTCAAGCTTCCATCTCGTTTTACAATTTCAAGAGATTGCTATCAAATTTATTTAGATGAGAAAATAAGGTCGAAGCAATTTTTGAAACAAAATAGTCAAAGAATTAGCCTTACTATGGACACATGGACATCTATTCAAAGAATCAATTACATGTGTTTAAAGGCTCATTTTATTGATAATGATTGGAAGTTGCATAAAAAGATCTTGAATTTTTGTCCGATTGATAATCATAAGGGAGTAGATTTAGGTATTGCCATTGAGAAATGCTTGATTGATTGGGGAATTGAGAAAGTTTTTGGTGTTACGGTTGATAATGCGAGTTCGAATGATGGCAATTAGGCACTTAAAAGATGTGATTA